AACAATCAGATTTCAAGGCTTATTTAAATTAACCGATCAAATTGCAGGAAAATGAAAGACAAAGAATATCATGTGGTGAGTTTTGCAACTTTTGTTTCCAAAACTTTTATTTTTTCCTCCCAAAATATGGATGAATTAAATTTCAAACCAGCTCAGTATTGCATCAATTTGAACTGACCAAGTCCTGTATTTGGGCAATTTCAAAATGGATGTAATAAAGTAGTAATGGAACCTCCTGTTGTGCAATTTTGGTCTGAAATCATTCTTGTGATTACAAATCAAACCTTTGCTGCAAGCTCATTCGATTTTGAAATCACGCATATGATTTCAGCCCAAATTGCACTCCACTCAGTTCAATTACCATTATCAATTGAATTCATGGCAATAAGGCAGGCATGTACAGTTTTCTATGTCTTATTGCACACTACTTTTTTGCAGTTATGCAAAGAGTAAATCAGTGTACATGTATTTAATACAGAAGGGTTATTATGAACAGAATGGTACTCACACTTTGCTGGCAACTTATGTCCTGTTACAGAAAGAAATGTTAAACAAATAAATTCCTTTTAGTGGTGACACTACTAAGTGGGCCACTATCCATTCAATTTAATTTTGATTATTGAAACGCAACTCAAGACTTTTAAAAATTTCTATGATGTCAACATTTCAATGGAGAAGTTGCAGTCAGCACTCATAATAGGGTGCCTGAACCCAACAATATCCAATTAAAAATATTTATTGGCTTCAAGAATATAATTATATCATTAAAAAGAACTTATGTTATAAACTCCACGGTTATTATCAAGGGGTTTCTCAAAGGACCTTTTCAGCCACTTCTTGGATGTGACTGAGAAAAATTTTTTGCTTATTTCTTGTTATGGTTTTTCTTTATTTGTTGCAAAAATTCGTAATGCCTGGAAATAACATGCACCTGACATGCATGTAATGCCACAGTAGTGAGCAGTATAAACTATGTGTGGATAGTATAAACTATGTAACTAAAGAAGCTTTAAGAAACACTCAGTGTACTAACCTGATGAGATTTTTGCATCACCAGTAGGGCAGCCATGGAGACCTGCACATTCATCTCGAAGAGTTGAACCAGCAGCACGATGGATACAGCCATCAACTGAAAAATAAATGAACACACCATATCTTACAGAGTGTAGAATTTCGGGCTAGACTTCAGGCACTTAATTAAAGTCAGAGGCTGGCTGGCCAAATAAGTCTTCTCAAGGAAATAATTCTACAAATTCATTTATTAAAACTGTTAAGGCAATTTTTTGACTAATTCCTGTCAGTAGCGACCTAAAACTGCGATGAATAGATGTTGACGATTTTAAAATATAAACATCTTTGAAGACTGAATTAAAGTTACATGCAGGCTCTCTCTCTGTTACTCTTTGTTTCTCCCAAAGACAAGACTCTTCAAGGGAGGAGCGTTAGCTTCCCAAACAGTGTGGAATGTTTTCTTTGACCCTTTGAATCCTAGGAGTGACCAGCATGTGATTTCTCCTTACAGTAACACTGCTGAATTGTTCATTAAGATCAGGAGAATAAAGGAATTATGATTGCCAATGTTTAAAGCTTTGATTGTTATGCAATTTTCTTCTTGTCAGTGTCATAGAAAATGTATAAATGTATACGTAGATATTAATGTATATTAAATGTATTCATATAAATGTATGAGAAGAGTATCAAGACTAAGGATACTAATGTTAGGGTGTAAAGAGTTAAGCAGCAGTAGGTAGTGAGAGCTTCCTATGTACTAGACAATCTGTTGGCTGCTCCTTATAAATTATGGTTTTTTTTTCTTTTAAAAGAAAGGTTGTTGCTGTTCATCATCATCATGATGACGGACTGTATCCAATTGTACATCTGTAGTGGATTGTAAAATGTTAATTGTGCAACCCATTTGTTGATAAGAAATCATCTTCATTTATAGTACCTCCACCTCCACCAAGAAGAGAGTTGTTTGCTATTGAAAAAGAAAAAAAAAATGAAATTATGCCCTGCATTACAAGAGAATAACATTAGCCTAATTACTCAGTATTGCATTGTGTATCCTATACTGCACATAAAAATAATGTAATAATAATGCATAAAAACCATATTTACATGATGAAACAAGCACTAAATCATATATGGACCAAGGATATAACAATCAGGAGACCCAGTGGCCTCATGATCAGTGCACTGGACTCCAGGTTGAGAAGTCTGAGTCGGAAACCTGGCTGAGTCATTGTGTTGCATTCTTGGGTGAGACACTTTGTCTCACAGTGCCTCTCTTACCCATTTGTACCCAGAGGTACAAATGGGTGGGGAGGGGAGAGGGGGGAGGGTGTTAAATTTGCAATGGACTAACATCCCATCCAACGGGGAGTAGTAATACTCCTTTTTGCTTCATGGTTCAAGGAAACTAGGATCAGCTCCAACAAAGTGGGCCAATAGAAACTGAGTACAGACTTTGCCTCATCTAACAATCATTCATGTGACAACAATAATACTAAAAGAAGTAGTTTCACTCTTTGGAGTAGGAGAATTTTAAAGTTTACTAGATAGAGAATAGTACATGGGCACATGTAGATAAGGAATTTCTCTTCAAGTGTTTATCTTGATAGCTCAGAAGTGAGCACAGTGAACGAGTGACATGTTGAGTTGAACACAAGAAGTGAAATTTCATATCTACAGGCAACCATGTATTATTTTGTTTACCATATAAACACAATCGCCCTTTACTTGCAAGATAAGTCAACTTAATTAATGAATGAAAATCGACAATCCCTGAATAAAAATCATTAAGTGCATTTGTGCTAAGGCTCAAGATGAAAAAATGTGCTGAAACAATACAAAAATAAACAATGGGTGTAATTTTCAATATAAAAAATTCTCAGTTATTGAATTGGTCCTCACCAACAGAAGAAATCAGCCTGTGGCAAATCTTCCAGTTGTCGATTTTCTTTCTCAGCTGTGAGAAATGCCATTACCAAAGTCACTGAATATGTAACTTTCAGTTTTTATTTCTGTATATCGGTTTTCTTCCCCCTCTAAAAAAGTTTTAATGTCACTATCTGTAAGTGATATGGATTTTTCAGTGTTTTAACAACCATAATCCGAAAAAACTCCAACAAACAACCTTGGCTTGTGGATAGTGAAGGCTTTACTGTACATTCATCAACCTGAATGAGTGGCACAAAAGGTAAGTGACTTTTCAGCAGCTGATTTATGATATCAAGCACAAGTGAAAAAATACAATATTTTTTCATGTGTAATGTTGAGGCTTTTCTCAGAGCTGGAAATCCTTGTTTAACACCATAATTTATATGATAAAATAATATAATCTTACCTGCATTTACGATGGCATCAATCTCTAGTTTGGTTATATCACCTTGCCATAGTGAAATTTTTTCATTTAGGGTTTTGTTCACCTCAAACGCTTGTTCCTCAGGCCTATTTTCTGAGAACAAATATGGTATATAATGTAAAATCACCAAAGACATTTTGGGGTTCTTGAAAGAGACATTTTTGGTAATGAAGTAATTACCAGGTGGGAATCCACTTTTATAACTGTTTACCACCATGATGACTTTGACAATTCAGACCTTTGGCCCCTGATAGTAACTAAAACCTAACCTCTCTTTCCAATGTCACCCCTGAATAAAACATTAAGGTCATGAGAATAAAGGAAATGATCACCAACTAAAGAAGCTCTTGATTGTTAAATAAATTATCCTTGTTGGCACCTAGGGAAATGTATATAGATCAGAATAGAGAATCTGCATATACTGAATGTAAGGTGTAGAGGGTTCATAGATTGTAACCCAATGAATTTAACTACCTTGCTTTCCAGATATGGATTCTGACCAGGATTGGATCTTGTCCAAAGTGACAAAGTCTTTACCACACTTGTAAAGTTTTCGCTTTTCATTCAAGGAAAGAGCATCATATTTACTGTAAGGTGCCTTCTCTTCACCTTCTTCAGCCTCTGCATCTAAAGGATATGTATGCTCAGGGTAAGTCCCTAACTTTTATTCATTTTCTTAATCTACCTTGTTTGGTGATGATTAAGAGAAGACAAATAGAAAAAGAGATTAAAAGTTTAAAATGGCAGACAGAAGTAACTAACCACACATATAACAAAATTCTTCATTAGTACAAATCTAAAAGCATTCTATCTGGAATGCCACATTATCTGATGGGTTAAACTTCTTGCTACCTATTCCATGATTGATTGAGAATAAAGGAGGTACATGTACCTAACACTGTGTGGTTGTAAACAAAACCAAAAAAAAAACACCATCCTGTCTGATGTTATCGAGTTTTGAAAGACTTGTAAATTATTACAAAAACAATTAGATGATTCACTCTGCATTTTGATTCAGATTTTTGATTACGGCTTTGCACTCAACAATTATTATGCTCATAACCAGTCATTGTTCAGATTTTTTTCTGTGGCATTCCAGGCAAAGCAAAGAAAAAAGCAAACCCATAAAAATATTAAACAAGTTAACCTTTATTTATCAGTCTAGGTTGATCAGTATAACCCCTACTTTGACCTTGATTATTCTGTATGTAACAAAGTAATGTCTGAGAAAGTGAACAATTCAATATAAAGTGTCACTTAAATTGTAGTATATGGTGTATACAGGAGACTGTGCCTTTTATACACTGCACGGTTTTGTGAGTACGAACTCGGCAATACTGTAAGCCTAAGCATTTTAATCTGCTGCATTGGCATCTCACTGAATCGGAATTGTGCCGGTTCTGCTTTTCCTGGTTCTTCAAAGAATGCAACTGCCCCGAAGGTTATGATCGAGTGATTTTGACTGAACATACAGGATGATATTTCATGGACTTCCCGGACCTGGCCATGGAAGTGGGGATGGGGGTGGAGAGAAACTTCTCGACCTGACTTTTTCCTCGTGAGGCATGAGAAAGTACAATACCCTTGTCAAAATAGTTAAAACTTTCACTAAAGATACCTACTCTTAATTATCATATACATAGATACAGACTTAGGCCTTTACACAATAGAGCAAAACTGCATAAAAAACGAGATAATTCATATCCATATTGTGACAAGATATATGCCTAAAAGGTACCCTATACCAGAGTACAGAAAACGCGGTTCCCGAAAACTTGAATACCTGAGTATCTGATCCGAACCCATAGCCATGGATGGCCACAAAAAAGTATATAAAAACTGATCAATACGCTGTATGAAACTAAAATGACACACCGGAAATGATTGAAATAATACCTGGTGTTTCAGGAGACTGAGTCTTTCGTTTAGCACTTGGTTTAGGATACCCGGACATCATATCCCCCATCCTCGACGTCGAACAACTTTAGCAATGACAGATACGTTTGGGTGATCATACAGGAAAAAGTACTTCCTGAAGAATTATATCCGCTGACCAAACTTATATTGAGCCAAATTTAATACACTTTGGCGCGATTTTTACTCGAAAGTTTTTCCTTAACTTTTGGGAGTCTTTTCGCCATGGGCTGATCAAAAACAAGGAAAAGTTGTAATATGGAACGTTTCAAGTTGTCTACACCGCAGAAAATTCCTACAGGAAGCAATGCTAGTCGAGAAAATCCGTCTGATACGGATGAAGCAGCATCCTGTTCAAATAAGGGCCTTCCTCGCGTCCACAGTCAATTCGAACAACTCTTCCTTTCAAGTCCTCGAGCTAAGGTACTGTAACGAGCGTCTGCCACCGATGAACTGAAGCGCTCAATAACCGTTACATGATTGCATGCTTCTGGCGTCTTTACCTCAAACAGTTTTGACCAGTAACTATGTTTTGACATCAAAACATCATCGATCAAAATGCATGTAGCCCCGCGCCTTTATAACAATTAACAGATGATTTGTCTCGATCTCTCGATCGTCGTTTGATTTCTGAGAAGAGTTTTTTGTTGAAGCTGGTCAATTTGCAACTACTCCTGTATCTTGAAAACATCAGTAGAATTAACTTTAGTGGTAGGGTCGATTAAATGCGTGCTCGCATCTAATTAGGCGCTTAATAAGATACATGAAAAAATTACGCGCGTCTGATTGGCTGAAAGCGAGTGCATTTTCCATGTAACGAGAGTGGAAAGTTGTAAGATGAATGCAAAGTACAAATAGCAAGCATGCCACCAAAACTTTTTCCATCTTGATTTTCTCAGATGTGTTTTTCATGTAAATTATTAACAAGTAAAACATGATTTCAAGTGCAATTTGGTGTTAATAAGCACTTGTAAATTTTTCAAATTTTTTCATGGGCTTGTGCAATTTTGTTGTCTTTGAAAAAAGTTACTTGTGCTTATTAACACTAGATTGCACTCAAAATCATGTTGTTACCCATACTGATTATAATAGTGCACTACCTCTAGACATGATTTTAAGAATGCTATCATGAGTCTCCTTGAGCTTTAATAAACCTTATATCTAATGCTAATTAAAGATGCTGTTAATTCACAAACAGATGATCAACTACAAATATGTGTAAGGTCAAAAATTATTTGTGATTCAGAGTTTTCTTTGGCTTTAAATTTTCAAACAAAAGGGATAATGTGAATCACACAACCCTGTCAATGCAACTTACATTGAAAAGTGTTCGATTTTCCCGTCTGTCTTGAGAGCTGTCACCATCATTATCATTATCATCATCATCATCATCATCATCATCATCATTATTTTCATGATCAACTTAGTCATTTTTAAATTTAACAGTAGGTGTGAGGGAAACATGTTGGCATAATGGTCAGTGGGTTGGATTGCAGGAGGGGATGTGTTGGTGGAAGCTTTAGCAGGTCATTCGAGATGTACATTATATGCCTGACTTAGACTAGACACTATAGTTGTCTATCATGGTGTCTCTCTGTGTGGGATCATGGATTAAGGGAAACACTCAAGCAAACCTTACTTGATGGTGAGGTAGGGAGGGGGGGGGAAGAACAACGAACTACATGTAATACCCCATTCAAGGAGAAGAGGAATAATACTCCTACTTTTTTCATACTAAAGGGGTCATGATGAGCTCTTGCATTACTCCAGAACAGAGGTCTTTTTTTTGCCTTTTTTCACCAAGATATAATACACTCTATCTCTCTTAATTATATTAAATCTTTGCATTTTTATCACAGGAAATATATGCAGCTTTGAATAATTCAGTACCAAGGCCAACACCACAAAAGTCAGCTTTGTCAGAACTTAGGGCTGTTGAGAATCCAACTCCTCAAAAGTCAAAAACATTCCGAAGTATTCCTGGTTTTGATAAGGTGGTTAATATGGCCAGTTTTTTCCACAATAAGTACTCCCATAGCTCCAGCAGCCATTTGCATTCATCTGATCATTTAGTTACACCTGGAAGATCAAAGTCTTTCCTTGATTTGCTCAGTGATAAGGAGTTTGTTAATAGTCCATTCCAGACATCTGTGAATGACTCAGCAATTAGAGACAAGGTAAACATGGCTATCAGCAGACTAGAAGAGGATTCCAGTGCTGAACATACCTTACAGAATAGGCATTCTCAATTTAATGAACAGCCTAGTGATTCTGGTGTAAGTGGCCAAGCAGTATTTACAGATGTTATGAGCAAGAGGAGTAGAATCACCTCACAGCAAGGAAGGTCATATCAAAAGGACACAAGAGATGTTGATAATGTGGCAAGAGCTCAAACTGTTGATAAGGGAGAAGAGATTCACATCTCTTTTGAAACTAATAGTGATGATGAAATAGATGTTGTGATGGAAGATTCAGAAGGTGCTGGGGACGAACACAAAAATGTGAGAAAGAAAAGTTCAGAAAAGACATTCAACAATGCTACAGTGTCAAATTCAGGGCTATCAGGTATGCATGTACCAGCAGAAAATGGGGTCAAGGACAAAGGAGATATTTCAAGTGACACTTATTATTCTGTAGTGGATGAGATCATTCCTGGGACACCTGAAGGTAGTACTGTACTCTTTCTTTTGTTCAGTTAATTTTTTGAACCGAAGTGCTGCAGTGCATTTGATCCTGTGATGTGATCACCTGGGCATGGTCTGTCTGGGTAAAGATTGCTTTTGTTGGCAGGGCCTGGCATTTTGATAACCTTATTGGAAGTTGCCACCATCACACTTGGCCCTGATGATGGATTTGACATCTGTAATCATCAAAACATCAGTCACTGTCATGCGCTAGAGTACTTGTTTAATACTACAAATGTACCTTTACCTTGACAATCACAGTACATGATCAACATTTTTCTTCAATGTTTTAAATGTCTTTGCTGAAAAGGAATATGGTCTCATAGAGGAAGGCCAGAAGTTAATTTATTAAATTATCTTTTAAAATAAATTATTGAAAAAAGTTTAAAAAAAATAATTTCAAACTACATTTAATGAATAGCTAATAATAGCAGGCTTTTCATGCAAGACTGGGCCAAAACTTTTCTTTTTCTGTCAGTTTAATTTTTAAGGAATCTCTGAATTTAAACTAAATTTTGCAGAGATTGTTCGTGGAAGAAGAAAGAAAGGTGCTAAAGGCCAAGAAAAAGCAGAGAGAAGGAGATTATACCAAGAGGGATCTGATGGTTCCTCATCAGACAAGGTAAAAATATTCATGTTCTATAATTATTTCCCTTGTGTTACTGTTCATGCACATACAAGTCATTTATGTCTTCCTTGATTAGTAGAGAAAATATTATGTTTCTGGTAGCAAGTGATATTTGGGTAGTTTTGAAACATCATGAGCTGATGTTTATCCTACAGTGCAAATACCCTGAAGAAACCATACATTTTGTTTATACTACATGTACAAATCAAATTAAATCAAATTAAATGAGTTTTCTCTGTATATGACATACACTTACTTGACACCATTGTTGTCTTGAGTGAATGAGAAATCTTCCAAAAACATGCAGTGGTGTTCCTGGCAGCCTTGTAATTCAAAATGCTGCATTAAAAGAAACCACATAGTTTCTATCAGAGAATTCCATAATTGGCCCTCTAAGGAGCCCTTTGGACCACAACATTTCTTCACCTTCATTGGTTAGTGCCAGTGATGCATGGGGACATTTGTTGCAGCCCTCATGATGGAAGGGAGCTTTCCCTTTATGTACTTTGCTGCTGTTAGCAAATTCTCTGTCCTTAGTAACAGAAACACTGTCACTTGCTTGCAAGTGACTCCAGTATTACCTGCAAACTGTCTGGCTTATAGTCCAAATCGTCCTTCTTTCTCGTCTTGGTGAAAAACTTCTCCAGCTTCACAACTAGTGGCTTGGATTCTTATCTCACACTATCCTGACTGAATCCTTTTTTCTTCAGCCCAAGTTGTCCAAACTTTAAGCGAGATCTTTGTGTTTTTCTTAGTGTTGGCATTTTTTGCTTGTAGTATAACTATTGTTATTCTACCACTATAACCAATCACAAGGTAATGTTTCTTGAGTGTGTATGTCCTTTGCATCCTTTTGTGCGGTGGTCTGGTAGATTCAACTTTTACCTTTACAACCTTAATATCAGTATGCATATTCTCCATGCTGTTCCCCATACATTTCCTAAGGTGCTGACAAGGGGAGTTTGTCTAACAACCAAGAGTTCTTTAATCAGTGATCATTTCCTTTATTCCCATAACCTTCATTTGTGATTCAGGGGTGATGTTGTAAAGAGAAATTAGATGCTGGTCACTCTTAGAGGTCAAAGGGTTGTAAACGTTTTTGGGTAAATGTCATCCTTGAGATTATTGTCTCTGTATGCATGTACATTGTAGACTGCACAGAGGTCAACAAAGATTAACATTCTTAACACATGGTCCATAAAAGCTTTGAAGACTCAGACACACATGGGAATCATTGTGGAAGGACAGAGAAGGTTAGAATGTCTATTCACAAACTTAATTCACCATTAAGCATGCAGTTGTACATGTAGCAAAGATTACAGATTGCTGTAAAATTGTGGAACAGCCTGGTTCCTATCCAAACCAAGTAGGATATGAATTTTTTCATGCAGTAAATTTTCTAAGTGGTATCTCTTACACTTTTCGTTTGAGTTGTTTGAATGTACAATCAGTTCGATTTACATGTATTATTCATAGAAGGTAGAGAAAGACAGTGTATTAAGATTTATGGTTAAGATACCCTGTATTCCAAAATTGTGGCACTCAAGGTGTAGATAAAGGTTCAACTGCATATCTGTATAATCAGTTTTAATCTGACTCATTAATGTACAATGTGATTATGTGGTTTGAGGGATTTGTAAGCTTGAAAGAAAACATGATCTGCAAAACCTATACTTACTTGCAAGCACAGTATCATGCTGATAGGGCAAAAACTGAAATAAGACATAATTTTGTGAAAAGGTACTGCCAAAATGAGATGTCACTGACTTTCTCAC